TGGTGTATAAATTCTTGCAACCTGCGTTTTGGCCACGCCTCCCTCCCTTTCCAACCATTGATATATCGATATAGGCCAAAACGCAGGTTGCAAGAATTTATACACCAAAAAGCAAGAAGCTCTTGCTATTTTAGGTAGACTATATGTCGTACTTCGCGGGCATCAATTTTATGCTTTTAAAGTACGTCACTATTACTATAAGAGTATAACCATTATACTTATTTAGTATGGACTTACTTTAAACTAAAAAAGCATTATTTCATACTTTAATAGGTAAACGAAATCGCATACTAATAAAGGATAAAGCAGTTTGGTGCTAAAATAGTTAGTTTGTTTTTTCCGTGTATATAAATACTTTTTTACCCCCTGAAATATTTTTCAAAAATATTATTTATTTTGAAAATAAAAGGGGGTTAAATTTTGAGGTAACAAATTTTTTATTTAGCTATTACTCCGAAACAAATAAAGATAATTGAGTAAATTTTTTTTAACCCCCCCCCCCTTATTTTACTAACACTGAAGCATTAGTGAAATAAGAATAGGAGAGGGGCATACAAATCGCATCTGTCTCTTTCTGTTCAACGCATATAATCTGTTGCTTTTTGTGGCCTCTTGCGCACTCTTCTAATATCTTTATATGGCTTTCACTTACCTATTTTGACTCTTAATAATTTTTAACCTATCTTTGAAACAATTTAAGTTTGCAAAAAAAGGGTTAAAATATTCAAAAGTTCTTCAATTATTTTTTTTACCGGAAATGTTCTACCGGCTATAGCCCTTTAATTGTATTTTAATATGCCGTTAGAATTTTTAGATTCCGACGTTTCGAAATCAAGATATCATGTCAACCAGATTTTTATCGGCTTCCCTTTCAACCGCCATTTTGTCGCCATAAATTAAGAAAAAAAAATTCTTTTATTTATTTCAATATATTTTAAATTTGGTGGGCGAAGCCACCCTAGTTAAACATACAAAAAGAAATAACAATACATTGTTGTCACAATATATTTACCTACAAATGATCAATTTAAGTTTGGTGGATGCTGATAGTTTAGACACCCTTACATGGGATTAATTTGAAAAAGTAATTATGACTCTTTTTCATTATAATGAAAGACATTTTTTTCCAATGTTAAAAAAAATTATATTTCACATGTATTTTAAAGGTAAAATAGAGGTTGCAAGCGGCACTCCTTATGATTTCTTTATCGGAAAAAATTACGTAGGTATTGATTTTTTCTACGTGTACTTTTCGAGATATTTGCAAGTTTCCATACTTTTTGAGTAAAATACTCTCTTAATTTGAATCAGTGAAATTTCACTGGTGAAATAGCTAGAAGTCGGTTACTGAATCATTTAGTGAAATTTTCACTGAAAATCAGTCATATATCACTGATTTCCAGTGAAAATTTTACTAAATGAATCAGTCAATCTGTTTTACCCACTACCGATAATACAGATTGACTGATTCATTTAGTGAAATTTTCACTGGAAATCAGTGATATATGACTGATTTTAAGTGAAAATTTCACTAAATGATTCAGTAACCGACTTCTAGCTATTTCACCAGTGAAATTTCACTGATTCAAATTAAGAGAGTACATTCTGCGTGCTAGCGCTAGAGACACGCAGCGCCGCACAAAAAACGCGATAACTTTTTTACTAATTGCGATCCACGAAATTTTAAAACGGTTTTCGAATCCTTATGAAATCCTCTTTCCAATAAACTTTGGATCAACTTTCTACGACAAGGAGAACATGGTTTATTTTTTAAATAAACAATTAATTTTGCTATAACAATTATTAAAAATCAAAATATTTTTATTTTCAAATTTTTAACTAAAATTGTATCATTTTCAGTGTAAGTATACCAATTTTTATAAAGATCCGTTCACTTAGTTCTAAGATATTTTTTTTTTAACTTAAGACTACAAAAAACTTTAATTGTTTATAACTTTGAGAAATTTTTGTCACTTAAATGTACGTTTGGCATTACTAAGTTGTTGATTTTCAAAAATTTAACGTGGCTTAGATTTCCATTTGTAAGCTCTACACAAAATTCCAAATATTGTTTCCGTATTTGTGGAATTTAACTACACGTAGAAAAAATCAATACCTACGTAATTTTTCCGATAAAGAAATCATAAGGAGTACCGCTTCATAATAATGAAAAAGAGTCATAATTACTTTTTCAAATTAATCCCATGTAAGGGTGTAAAGGTTTTGTTAATTTAATTTACAAATAATACAAAGTTTAATTCATTAATTTATTTATATAACCGAAGTTATATCAAAAACTAGGGGAGGATGGGGCAAGGATAGTTAGTTGCTGTTATGCTTAGACGGCTTGCTCAAAAATCGCGTCATTCATGGTATATTTGCGTCTTAACACCAATAGATGATAGTAAAAATTGGAAGTCAATCTGCCACCATTTGCGAAGTCAGGAGTTTATTTTTGTAAAAAGTCTGTTTTGCTAAAATGTCATAGTAGTGTTTATCACATTGTTTTCTATATTAGTGCTTCAGAATATTTATTTACGTAAGTGTTTTCCGGAGTGGAATTTCCTGCTGAACACGAATATCGTATTTATTTTCAAATTAATTTACGTCGTTCCTTAAAATTTAGAAAAAACTGAAATATAGGCTCATGGGGCAAGGATAGTTAAAGCTATTACGACTCGAGAAACTCCTGCTAATGCGACTGCAAATTATAAAAAAATGTTTAATTGTTCTTTTTAGGTTGATATACATAATGGTGCGTAATTATATACGGAAAACGAAACTTATTGACCAAGAAATTGGTGATCATCTGAAGAAAATTGGTTAAACCTCAGATTTTAGTTCAGATGAATTTTAATGGAATAATTGATATTTAGAAAATGTTCAAAACATGTTGTTAATACTTGATATATCAATATTGAATAGTATAAAATCAAAAAAATAAAGAAAACGAAAATTTACTGATCTCGTAGGGATTGCAGTCTACAGCAAAATAATGTATAGCAAAATTATAGCCAAATAACCAGACTTTCCAAAAATACTACTCGGTTGCAGATACAAATTCAGGCATGGTCGCTAGATTCGAAAACGTCTTACCTAACTAGTCATGCCACATCCTCCCCTATAATTGCAACAAAACTTTATGGATTTTAACTTTCAAATGGAAATTTTTAAAATTATCCCTTATTTTGCAATTTTTACCTATTTAAAACTGCGTCAACAATGGGTTTTCGTAGAAAAGTAAAAATCAGGGTTTTAAAACTGTTTTCTTACATTTTTTTCATAAATCCATTGTTACAACACATTCATTTTCATTTAAAAATTATGTATTCGAATACGAGTAAAAACAATTGTGTAGACTATTGCTTCAAGATTATTTTCTATATAGTCTAGTCTAGTATTTTCTATATTTTGATAAGCAAAAGAACAAATAAATTTAAAAAGAAGAAAAATCACTGATTTTTTTTTTAATTTAATCATTGAAGTATTGCGCTTTAAAAGAGCATAATATATTTTTTTAAAATGAATATTTTCAAAAATCACTAAGGGGCGAAAAATTTATAAAAATATTATTAAAAAAACATAGAAAACTTTAAAATCGTAGAGAAAAATCTTTCAATTGGCTGTATTCATTTATTTTTATCCATATAGATTAGAAATATCGTCTTGTTAATTTGTTATTAATATTTATGTTTCGAAATTTCGTTTACACTTGCAACACAAGTTAAATACATATTAAAATATATTTTTTAGATTTTTTCAAACTGTTAATTAAATGTAAATAATTATTTATTATCAAATCTATTTTATAATCATATTTAATTATAATACAAATTTAGATATTTTTGTGTTGAAAATAAAATGTGAAAAAATTCATGTAAACAAACAGGTACATGATATGAATAGCGCTGGTTTTTAAATAAATTTAAATTTTGAGTATAAAATTTTCATACTTAGGATAAATGTATTGTTAATTGGCTAATTTAATTAAATTCTTCTACTTTCTTCAAAATTTTGAATTACAACTTTTTTGTCAAGAAAAGTAAAAATGTTTACATCAAAATGTTAGAAATCTTAATAGTTTTCTTTAATTTATGCAAAATTGTGCAATTTAAAAAATAAGTACAAGTCAATTATGATTATTTATTTTATTTGTAGAAAGCGATTCTTTAGAACTAATGCTATTCATAATTCCGACCTTGATCAAGTTCTTGAACGGAAACTTATGCAAGAACATACACAGGATTTTCTAGTCATTTTTAACCTGGGAGAACTTTCTTATTTATCATTTTTTAATTGTAGAATAAATAATAACGTTATTGTTTATTTTTCATGACGAACTAAAATGACACATCATTTAAGAAACAATATTTAAAAAAAAAATACAAAAATTTCCTAATTTGTTTTTTTTTTTTTTTTTTTTTTTTTTTTTGAGTAAACAGTAAAATGTGGATAATGTAAAATTAATTTTAAAAAAGTACATATACAAATATAAAATAATCAACACAAAAAATATGAAAAGATAGAAAAGAAATTGTCGTCATTGATCTTTGGATGAGTCAACAGTCACTTGACATTAAGTTCGCATCTGCACTAAAAGTTATACACATGAAATCATAACAGAAAGTCGCAAATTGACAATGATTAAAGTGCACTTAATCTACCTATTGAAAAACGAATAGAAATTAGAAAAAAACAAGGGCGTTACATTCGTATTTTCCGAGTGAGCTGAATTGAAGATAACAGAATTAATTTTATTAAAATGAAATTAAAAATTTTTTTCATCAAATAATTTCAATCACTTATTGTATGGCAGTCAATTGCGCTTTTGTCCGCATTTGCGTCTCGTAAACGCCATTGAATAGTCATCTTTTTAATCTTGTTTTTATATTCGAAAAAATGTTACCCGCTGACATTAATATAAACCTTATTGTTTCAAAAGTTGGAAAAGAGAGTAAAAAAATGATTGGGTTTGAAAGTAAAGAGCAATATTTACTTACTATTCTGGGTTCATTGTTGACATACTATTACAAAAATGCAGCAATCTCAAAGGGGTCCTAAGATTCCTTTAAAGTTCTTTCTGTAATTAGAAATATTGAATATAATTTCCTTAAAAAACGTAAATTATTAAGGCCACGTTCCAAGATGTAAAAGAAAAGAATCGAAACAATGGCGGTCACGTCACCTCCTCCCAAAATGATATAAATTCTTTCCTACCTACTCACTCTTGAATGACAGCCACCGTTCTATATAAATAGATTACCTATGCAACGTCAAAATAACATAGTGAAAAAGAGAGAAGATAGATGTCGCATTTTCAAGAAAAATGTATTAAGGTTCGATCACATCTCGATTGTACGGAAGCGCCTATACGGCTGGTTTCCATTAGGCTCTGTCACTTGTGACGTCAGAGTGTTTGTGTTTGTTTATTAACTTGAAATCCTATACTGCTGCGGTAATTCCCACTTAAAATATATATTTTATATCTTTTTTAATAACATGCATACTGGATATTGTTTAATAATGTTGTTAAAATGTAAAATGTGATTAGTAAACAAACACCCATAACCTCAAAATTTATATTTTATCACGAATTCAGAGAATCTATCAATGCAATTGAATCAAATATATAACAAAATTAATTATCAACACACATTTTAATTCTATTATATGTCAACAAGCGTTTTCTATGTTTAAAATATGAATAAAATTGACGAATGTGGAAACTAATTTTCTTCCCCATAAAGGAGCGGTCACACCTCGGCTGCAGGAGCAGTTGCCCATGGCAACCGTGTAAGAGTAAGAGAGATAGAAGATTTTCCATCTCTCTTACTCTTACACGGTTGCCATTGGCAACTGCTCCTGCAGGCGAGGTGTGACCGCTCCATAAGAATAACATTGTGTCGTCTGTTTGTTGACCCTCCAGGCCTCTGACGTCATATCTTGAACTCGAAATATCTCGATGAACTGACACTCGTCAAAATCCCCATTCGATATTTGTCATAATTCTCGTCAACTACCGCACCCTGCTCTAGTGAAAATTTAGTAACTTTTTGGCCGTTTCCGAATTGGGATTTTTGGCGCACTTTTGATAAAGTGTATACTCGGGAAGTATGCAGTGTCCTTGTTTTTCCGTGCGAAAAAAATGACACTACATACATAGCCAATCTGTCAATTCTGACTTCGAATTCAGATTCAGCGTGAAAAAATACATGAAAATGCACTATCGTAGTGTTTCGGCAAAAAAAATTATCTGTACCCCTAATTCAGAATTTTTATCAGTTTTTGGCGATTTTAGATCAAAGAAAATTTTTTTTGCCGAAACACTACGATAGTGCATTTTCATGTATTTTTTCACGCTGAATCCGAATTCGAAGTCAGAATTAACAGATTGGCTCAAATTTTGAAGATAATTCCAAAAAACTGATTTTGAGTATTTTGAGTTTTTTGTTACTTGCGTTTTTTTGCAATTATCTCAAAAATTTGAGCGAATCTAACAATTCTGACTTTGGATTCGGATTCAGCGACGAAAAATACATGGAATTACACTATCGCAGTGACATTCAAAATTTTTTTAACTTTTTGATTTTATTTTTCTTTCTGAGCAGTTTTTTGAGTTTATCTCAAAAATAAAAGCCAATCTGAAAATTCTGACTTCGGATTCGGATTCAGCGTGAAAAAAAACATGAAAATAGACTAGTATAGTGTCTCGGCCAAACCACATTTTAATTTTCGTGTGCCTGCGTGTAAATAATCACTTGATATGTGCAAGTGGTAACTGTAGATTTTAACTCGTTGTCAGTTTTCATAATATTTTCAAGAAATTAGTGTAAAATGTGTGAAAAAATAATTTATATTTACAGTTTAAAGTAATTGCAATTTAATTTAAAAAAAAAGTTTTCTTAAAAGTGATAAGAACTCTACTATACCGACAGCAAGAGGATATTTACAGTTAAGTAAAGTTATTGTAGCGTGTAGTTTTGTTGTGACTAAAAGATGTCGCTTTAGTTTCTATAGATTAGATATAAGATAGAACAGAGATATCTCATGATCAAATATTCATGAATATTTATCTCTGTTCTATCTTATATCTAATCTATAGAAACTAAAGCGACATCTTTTAGTCACAACAAAACTACACGTTACAATAACTTTACTTAACTGCGTAAATATCCTCTTGCTGTCGGTATAGTAGAATTCTTATCACTTTTAAGAAAACTTTTTTTTTAAATTAAATTGCAATTATTTTAAACTGTGCTCGATAAATAATAAAATAATTTAAGGCCAGGTCCAAGTGAGGCAGCGCCATCTACATTGAAACTAAAATTTTGGAAAATTTTCAACAGCCTTTTCTTGAAAACAAGAAGGTAAAATGCTTTTTCCTTTATGGATAATTGATTATTGGCTAGATATACACGAGCTAAAACTTTTTTTGAGTTAAAATAATAAAAAAAATTTCATTACAATCAAAAATGCAATTTCCATTTGGAAAATTAATAAACGCTAAAAAATACACGACCTAAGATTTACCAATCACGAAAATAACAAAAAAAAAGTATTTTAACATAACATATTTTACTCATTATGACAGCCGTTTGGCAGGTTATATATATGTCACCAGACGTTTCGCGGTTTTGCCGAAAGGAGGAGATTGGCGCTGTTGCTAACCACCTGAAATACATAATCTACCAAAGGGCTGTCACAATTAGTAAAGCAGTATCAATATGTTAAATATTTAATAAAAATTTTTTTTGTTATTTTCGTGATTGGTAAATCTTAGGTCGTGTATTTTTTACCTTTTATTAATTTTCCAAATGGAAATTGCATTTTTGATTGTAATTTCTGAGAAAGTACTGTTACAGTTTTTGTGAAAAAAGTGCTCATATTTAATTTATTGACATGAAATTTTTTTTATTATTTTAACTCAAAAAAAGTTTTAGCTGGTGTATAAATTGCCAATAATCAATTATCCATAAAGGAAAAAGCATTTTACCATCTTGTTTTCAAGCAAAGGCTGTTGAAAATTTTCCAAAATTTTAGTATCAATGTAGATGGCGCTGCCTCACTTGGACCTGGCCTTAATAAAATTTTCAATTTCTATTAAATATAAATTATTTTTTCACTCATTTTACACTAATTTCTTGAAAATATTATGACAACTGACAACGAGTTAAAATCTACAGTTACCACTTGCACATATCAAGTGATTATTTATTATTTATCACGTTAATAATTAAAATTCTTACAAAAATTAACTCTATAAATGTTCATTTAACCTCACAATACTATTTTTATAAATTTTCATCAATTTAAAGCTTTTTTTTGATAATTACCTAAATTCGACTTAGATTCGCCCCAGCTTGGTCGAATTTAGGTAAATCAAATCCGCCAGGGCTATCTTTTTTTTCTAAAAAATCAAACCATCCCACGAAATTTTTGTATGTTTTTGTAAATATTTTTGTTTTCCTGTCATTTTTAAACGTTTAAAAAGTCTCCTTTTATAACGAAAACAAATTATAACCTCCAAATCTCTGATAAGAATTGGATAAAATGTAATATACTTGAGTTATATAAGGTTTTTGACGTATATTACGTAGAAAACATATTATACTTCGAAAACCTCATGTTACGTGTAACTTCACTACCCTAAACGTGGTACATCGTTTTAAAAATGTTCAATATTACTACAATAATTTTTATTCTTTTGTAAAAGTCATACAAAAAAATATAATATATATTATATATATATATATATATATAAGTATACCGTATACCTCACCGATCCCGAGTATACTTCTGTCGTGTACCATTGGAGTAAAAGTGACAAAAGATATTTTCGTCTCTTTTACTCCAATGGTAGATGAGGTATACAAGCGCATTAATGAAAATATTTAAAAAATAATAAAGTTAATTTTGAAAGTCCTAAGAACACCGCTTCTCTACTAGAGGTGTCATAATCGGTGATATGCAATTTCGAATCAATTAATTTTTCTAAACTGTGGCTATCAAGAATTGGCCTGATATTCGTAGCCATAATTAAGGTCTCCAATTGGGATCAGAAATCACGCGAAACTGACCCACCCCTGAGCCTTCTTGTAACAACCATCTTGGTTTTTTATCTCTTTCTTTTGTATATGTTAGAGAAACACGGAATGAAAACATGGCCACCACAACAAGGCTCTCACCAGATGGCGTATCGCAGTATTTCAGATCCCAATAAGGTTATTCAAGTTGGGTGGGGGAAATCCAAGATGGTTGCTTGCTGGTGCACCTATCAGCCTATCAGCATTCATTCCCACGAGAAATTTCTCGTGGGAATGAATGCTGATAGGCTGATAGGTGCACCAGCCATCATCCATCTTGGCTTTCCCCCACCCAACTTGAATAACCTTATAGGAACCTAAGAGCATTCGTAAACGTGGACGTATGACGTCACCAACGCTAAACTACATGGGAACCAATGCGACGTGTACGCAACGCAAACATTTAGGAACCTATTGGAGAAAGGCCTTCAAGGCCTTTCTCCAATGGAACCTAAACTTTTGTGTTGCGTGACTGACGCGTTGATTTTAGCATTGGTTGCCAATAGCAACCGACGCAATGCATACGCAACGCAAGAGTTTAGGATCCTATTGGAGAAAGGCCTTCAAATGGGGATGCGTCGCGTCAACGCTGCGTTTACCTTGCGTCGAGCCCATTGTGGAACCAGCCTAAATGGGAACCATCGCGACGTATACGCAACGCTTCTTCTTAGGCTTCAGTCCCATGGCAGCGTTTTGCGTTGAGTTTTGTCACTAGATCCTGAGTGTAAACATTGTAAACATATATCTGTATCTCTTTTACACTCATGGTCTAGTGACAAAACGCAACGCAAACATTTAGGAACCTATTGGAGAAAGGCCTTCAAATGGGGATGCGTCGCGTCAACGCTGCGTTTACCTTGCGTCGAGCCCATTGTGGAACCAGCCTAAATGGGAACCATCGCGACGTATACGCAACGCTTCTTCTTAGGCTTCAGTCCCATGGCAGCGTTTTGCGTTGAGTTTTGTCACTAGATCCTGAGTGGAAACATTGTAAACATATATCTGCATCTCTTTTACACTCATGGTCTAGTGACAAAACGCAACGCAAAACGCTGCCATGGGACTGCAGCCTTATGGTGCGCCTCCAATGAGATCCTAGGAACAAGCGTTACGTACACGTCGCGTTGGTTCCCATGTAGTTTAGCAATTAGCACTGCACACGTCATACGTATACGTTTACGAATGTTCTTAGATTCCAATTGGAGACGCTCCATTAAGGCCTTTCTCCAATAGGATCCTAAACTCTTGCGTTGCGTATGCATTGCGTCGGTTGCTATTGGCAACCAATGCTAAAATCAACGCGTCAGTCACGCAACGCAAAAGTTTAGGTTCCTATTGGAGAAAGACCTTAAGCAGCGTCTACAATAAGCGCGTCGGACGTGGACGCGAACGTGTACCTAATGAGGGAGAGGGGTACGGAAATATACATCTTTATCAAAAGTGCGACAAAAATCCCCATTCGGAAACGGCCTAGTGCACTTTTGTCCATATATGCCTACACTTTTCTTTCCTTTTCTAACACACGCTTTGTCATGGAAACACGTGCGTTAGAAAAGGACAAAAAAGTGTAAGCATATCTGGCCACAACTCTTAGGCTGCAGTCCCATGGCAGCGTTTTGCGTTGCGTTTTGTCACTAGACCCTGAGTGTAAACATAGCAAACATATATCTGCATCTCTTTTACACTCATGGTCTAGTGACAAAACGCAACGCAAAACGCTGCCATGGGACTGCAGCCATAGCCGTATGCATGCCCTCTTTTGCCGTTTCCGAATTAGGATTTTTGTAGCACTTTTGATAAAGTGTATACAGTACAATTTCGGTAAGTGTCGGGTGCTCGGGACCACAACATTTGATAAGTGTCGGATTGCCCCTTGAGTTGTGGTGGGACGGCAGACAGTGCCGTATCACGGTGTCTTCTAATGCTTATTAATCTATAATGTATAATTCTTCTCGGATATAAAAGATTAAATAATAATTTAATATATAATTAGATTAACATTCAATTTACCAATTATTTCAATTATTTCATAATTAAAAACATTATTTTTATTTTATTAATGTCCATATTTAAAAACGTTTTTATACAGCGCTGGTTTTTGATGCGCACGTGGAAAAAATCCTACACATATCGAGATCCAACACTTATCAAACCCGACACTTACCGAAATTGTACTGTACTCGGGAAATATGCAGTGTCCTTGTTTTTCCGTGCGAAAAAAGGACACTGCATACTTCCCAAGTATACACTTTATCAAAAGTGCGACAAAAATCCCAATTCGGAAACGACCTTTGCATAGTGGCATTCAGCAAACAGTGTGAGCATGCCTTCATGCATTAGGCTTGGCGCATTGGCGCTGTAACTTTATCCTCATAAATAACTGCGCAACCTTGGATTTGACTAACTTTGGTTGTCGTTGTATAGCGTGTGAAGCAGTTGCTCCTTGCTGTTAATATTCGACAGTTGTCTTTGGAGTATTTAGGGGAAGGGGAGATTTACATTAATTAATTTTTTCACAATTTTATGTCCCATGAAAACCGCTTATATGGATTTATAACAATTTTAATCAAACACTTTAAAATTATAAATTAACTGTTTCTATTGATAGGTGTTGTGTGTATAACAGTGAAAATCAGTTAAAATTTTTTTTTTTTTTGCAATTTCCTATGTTGTGCATAGGAATAAAAATGCGCAACGGTGCGCGGTCGCGGTGTTCAGTGTTAGTAAGTATTTGCAGATTGTAAAGTCAATCATAATCTAAATGTAGCGTTCTAGTATAGAATTTCTGGACTAAATTAATAGAAAAAAAATAATTAACAATTTTCGCCTGCTTGTGCGGTCTATAGAAAAGCAAAAGAAAGAAAGAGTTTTCGCGTCACTAAACAGCCTCAACAACTCCGAAAGGTGTGCGATCTCCATGGTGGGGAGCCGTTTTCGTAGGCCGCCGCCGCAGTTCGTGAGCTTGTACCTCGCGGCCGCTAGTCGCCAGCATCGTTCAGCAACACTTTTTCGACAGTCGGCGCTCGTCAAAATGAAAATGGCGGAATTTACTAGTCACTAAGAGAGAAGAAGAAGAAGAAGCAGAACAATGCGCGCTCATTTATTAATGTCTAGTTAACTAATTGTTGCTTGTTTCAACTTGGTTCACGATGCTTCATTTTCATTCAAAAATTGCCTAGTGTGTTGATTTACAGTGCTTGGTATATATATATATATGTGTGTGTGTGTCTTGAAAATCTTTCTGCTGATCGAAACTTAGTTTTAAGTTTACGTTTTTGTGAATTCAACATTCGAAGAGATTTTTGCTAGAGAAGAATTTTTTCCAAGTACACGGGAATTTATTTCTCTTTTTGTCGGGGGAAAGTTTCGATTCGGCAAATATTTTTGTCTCCTCTCGTCTGAACCTGAGAACTTGACTTCTCGGGGACGAGACGAGACATGAAGTGACACGCCAGGTGGTAACTGTATAGCTACATACAATTCTTGTTCAACTGGGAAAATAAAACACGTTAGGTTAGGCAAGGACAGCCTTCTTCATGCCGATGCCGGCCGAATACCACGAGAGCCACGGTAACCACGAGAACGCCAATTTCGCTCTCGGGTCCACGCAGCAGGACGCCAGCAACATGACGGCCAACATGTACCGGGTGGGAGGTAAACCAATAAAAACATTCAATTTTTTTCAATATAGAGAGACAAATGTTGCACCTGCCTTTTATTGCACTAAATAAACTTATTCTCAAATTTTCATTCCAGTCCGAAAAAATACAATTTTTATACTTTTATAAATATCATCCATTTGATTCTGGGAATTGAAATTTCTACTCAACTAATTTTTTTTTTTTTTTTTTTGACAAGTATAATTTGATAAAGTAGCGTCCCCGACATTAATTTCCGAATTTCCTATAGGAGCTCTCATTTTACCCTTCTCCCGGGCTTTTGCTTTCCTCTTCGCATTTGTATCTCTTTCCCCTGTCTTTAATTCCCCTTTCCTCTATTCACTCTGCCCACCCTCCGCAGAGAAATGGAAAAGACGAAAAACTGGTAAATTCTGCTATTTCTATTCATTACTGTTGTATGCAAAAAAAGATGAAAATCATCGTAATTATAATATAAATATTTAATACTTATTGTTTAAATGTTTAAAAAATACCTCTGATTGTACATTGAAAACATTGATTGCGACACTTTTACCCATCTCTCTGCCACCCTCCGTTTAATTCTGAAAGTCACCCTCTGTGTGCCTCTACCTCCCGACTCGGAGTCGCTCGGCATTTTCAACTTCATGGCTAGTCTACAGTAAACAGGGCTGATAAAAATCATGATATCTTTTTAAAAAATCCCTTTTTTTATTTCAATCTTTTTACTTTTTGAGATACATGAATAATGCCTAAAATTAATTTATTGTAAATATGATAATATTTCATTAGCTAGAATTTTCTTTTAGACAAATTTTTATTTCTTCGAATTATTTTTTGACAGAATTTTCATTAAACCGAATTTCTATATTCCAAACTTGTTATATAACCGAAAATTCTGACCAGGAAGTTAGATCAGTAAAGTTAAAATTTTCAAAATATAAATATTGTGCTCATTTGTGTAAAAACACTTTTTTTTTGAAAAACTGAATTTCCGCACTGAAAAAAAGTTCCAGCTAAACTTACTAGATGAATTTGTTTAAAAAATTTCTAGTTATTTTAACAAGAAAAAATAGTTAATAAGACTAGACAATTCGAGTTAAACAATTCTTGTTAATTTTTGGTAATATCAATTAAAATACACTATGTGAATAAATAACCAAAAAAATTTAACTAGGAAAATTCTGGTTTGTTAAACAACCATTTTAATAAGAGTTAAATTGACCGCAAAAAACCAGAATTTTTCAACCAAATTTTCTAATATAAAAACCAGAAAAAGTAGTAATAACTAGAATTCTAGTTTTATTGTAACTACATTTTTTTTCAGTGCGGGAAAAAAATCCAAAAACCATTTTTAAATATAAAAAGTTAAGGGGTTAGTACCACATCTCAGTAACTTTTCTTAATCATTTTTTTTTATTACAAAATTTATTTTATTTATTTTAAACATTTTATACGTCCAAGCGCCCGTCCTGCCGGAAGGCTTTTTTGGATGGCCCTATATATATGAGGGTGGTAAAAAGGGAACTCAAAATTTTTTTCTTTCACCCTTTCTTATTAAAGTAGACGTAAAAACAAAAAAATTCATGCGTTAGACTTTAAAAAAAATAATATTAAACCATGTTTCGAAGCCTTCAAACTTTGCATGTTTGCTACAAGCCAAAAAAACAGTTTTTCGTAAATTCACTGTAAAATCTACAAAAACCAATATTTTTCGGTCTAACTACTCTCATTTTCTTCTGAAGCCTTCAAAGAATAAAATGTGATAGTTTATTTTAAAAAAAATTCAGTTTAAATATTTTTTTGGATTCGTCAAAAAAACCCTATAAAAACGTTCTTTTTCTTTGAATTCCCTAGCCTAGGGATTTTATTTTACAAAGTTTATGTTTACATGCGCTAAAAGCTTGTGTGTTTTTACCTTTCCAACGATATATTTTACTTTTGGATTATCTGAATCCATGTTAATTTTATAAAGCGATTTCGTAGGGACTCACGTGAGTCTTTTTCATCCTGCCGGAAGGCTGTTGGACGTTCTATCATTAAGGGGTTAGACCACTGTGAAGACCGAAAATCAGAACAATTTTTAAAATTTTTTTCAAGAACAAAAAACCAAATTTTTTCTTAGTTTATAACTCAAAATCTATGCACCCTAAAAAAAGTAATCTTGATTCTAGCGAATTCCTCTTAATTTGATGCATATTTTCCTCTTATATATTGTATCAAAAGTAATAGTCTTCACTTGAGAGGATTTTCCTCTCGCATATAATTTGACAATTAAGGTTATAAACAGATAAAGAAAAGCTATTATCATGCACTAAATTAAATATCTTTAATTAAATATTAAATATAATTAATGATTTATAGTTAATTACTTACATTAATTAATAGATTTGTTTATTTATTTAACTTTAATTCAATGTTTTTGACATCAGAACCTCAAAAAAATTGTTTTGTTTTATTAATAGTCACCAAAGAATAAAAATATTCTACATTCAAGTGGAATACTTTTGTTTTAAGAGGAAAAATTGAGAGGATATTAGAAGAGGATTTTTCCTCTAAATATGAGATTACTTTTTTTAGGGTGTGGAAGTACGTAAAGGATTTTGAAAAATACCTTTAACTTAGGTCAATTTTAAAATAAAATGAATAGTATGCAAGTGAAAAAGTTTATGAATAATTTACATAATAATTTTTATTTCCATCTTTCCAAAAAATCGAAAAAGTAATTTATAAACATTCCTACAAATAAAAATATTTTTATGTACATAAAAATGACTATATTGAAAAATGACTAATATTTGCCGTGTGGAAATTTATCGTGGAAATGTATTGGAAACTGTACAGTGGAGCTAGATTCAATCGAGCAACTTGAGAGGAAAACTGGACAGAATCAAGTAGGGTATGTGACGCTAGGGATAACTAGTTTTTTTCCAGGCCTGTTGTCTAAAGGCCTGAGCAGAATAGAAACGTAACCGTAATCGCAATCGTAAACGGAAAAATGAGTTAGAGAAGGATAGTCATATATTGTTGTTCTTCTCTTACTAATTCTTCCGTTTGCGATTGCGATTCCGGTTACGTTTCTATTGTGCTTAGGCCTTAATCCCTTTCTAGTAAAATAAAAATTTCTAGCCAGTTTCATAATATTAAAATATACAGTTTCTATCCACCCAAGGGTCGACCCAACTTCACATAGATGATAATACCTACACACAAAAAAATTAAATATGAAATTAATTATACAATTAACACATTATTTAAAATTGGAGACCTTATATTTACCCCTATCTATTATTATTTAACGCAATCGCTTATACATAAATTTTGGAAAATATTTAACGCTCGCTAGGATCGAACCCCCTAACCCAACGCTCCGTAGGCTAACACGCTAACCATTACGCCACCTTAACATGAGAAAATAAATACAAAATTGATTTGATAAGTTGAGATTTAGGAAAATGAATATACTTACGGTGCAGAACAATAAAGAAACAATAATTATATATAAATTATAATTTATTTTTAATGTTGAATAATTTATTTAACATATATAAGTCAATATTTTAATTTTTTTTATTTTTACCATTTGGTAAAAAAACTATTTTTGTTTAAAATAAGATTATTTTTTTCAACTTCAAATTAATTTGTTTAAATTAAAATTAATAATTCTTATTAATTTAATCAATTAAATTTAAATTAAAATTATATAACATAAAAATAACAATAATTAAATAAATATATTTTTATTGATTTATTTTTTTAATTTGTTATTATGAATATATGTTATTTTAAATAAAATTTTATTTATGCTTACTTGTTTTACTTGTCAGTATTAACCCAATAAAATAAAAACTTCAAATCAATTAAACTTATTATTTATAATATAATGCTTACATAATATAATAATAGCCAGAAGGATATATGCACGTCAAAGATTGTCAAAGACTTAATTCGTCTGCTAGATAGTTATTGTAGCGAATTCAGTGACACCTGCTTGACGGATTTATATTAATTTTTCATGACGGTATCCTAGGCCGCATCTTGGTAAATTATAGACAGCCTACTGTACGAACTTGTACAAAAATTTTAAGTAAGCATTCTAGACAATAACTAGCTAAATTCTAGAAAGGCTACATATCTAAAGAAATAAAGTGAAAAATTTATAAAAACAACACATGAACTTTGAGGGGCCATTGCAGTTATTTGAGAATAAATTTACACGACAAACACTGTCTACCTATAAACTAACACTAGGAAGGTCACGATAAATTTCTACACGGGATACTTTCAATCGAAAAAGAAAAATTAAAAGAAATCATCTAATCAAAATTTTCTTAAATAAAAAATGTTGAGAGGAATTTTCTTCTTATTCACCGAAAAAAAAATATTCTTGTATTCAGAGGAAAATTCCTCTTACAGAATCCTCTTGAATTTTATTCTTAAAACAAGAGTATTAGGGGCCATTCATAAATTACGTTGCGCTTGAAGGGGAGGGGGGGGGGTCAAGAATTTGCAACACTCAATTGAAAAAATGGCGCTAATGTATGCAAAATGTGCAACATGGGGGAGGGGGGGAGTCGAAAATGGTGAAAAATAGTGCAACCTTATTTATGGATGGCCCCTTACTCTTTAAATGAGAATATTTTCCTCTAATTTCAAGAGGATCGAAACAAAAGGACTATTCTAGAGCATTCCTCTTATATTCAGAATAATCTTTTTAGAATAAAAATAATACTCTTAGAATTTAGAATAATCTTCTATGTTTAAGAATATTCCTCTAAATTCTAAGAGGATTTGCCATAGAAAGTCACTCATGCGCAAAGATGATTGCGTCATATCATTTACGTCGCGTCATAAATCGCATATCATACGTGAAAAAGTTTTAGTTTCTGTGTGAAAAAAGGGGAATAAACCAAAATGGATAATAATCTTTTAAATATCTTGATAGAGTTGCAACTTACACAATACGTGACTCTTTTTGTAGGTAAAAGAAATTTTTAAAAGTAATTTTTAAGAAAA